TAGCATGTCAAATGGGAGTCTGATTTTTTAAATCTGCTCATCTTGCTCTTCACATGTATGTCTAGTACCTTGCTCCCACTGGCTACATTTCTGGCCAGAAGAACATAGAGGCAGTTTTATGTCAATTTTACTGGGGCTCCAGTCCCAGAAGCAATGCACTCTTGAGCACAGAGTAGAACAACTCTACACCTGCTCCAAATTGGACTGGCTCCTAACAGCCTTTCCGCAAGCCAAAGATTGCCTCAGTACACAGCAGAGACCACAAGACAGGGCTGCTGGCTCTTTTCCACCTGGAGTTTCTGAGCCAGCTAGGAGAGAAGACTTTCCAGGTGCTTGGAGATGATGATGAAGTGTAAGAGGTGGTCTGTGGGGCAGGATCTTGTCCAAATGACCATTGAGCATGCACCTATTCAGGGTATAGGAGTGACTTCTTCTTGTGTTACCATTTTTCAGCTTTTGCCTTGGTATAATGCTGGCCATCAACCTAACCCGAACACTCACAGTGCTGTTTCCTCATATTTCTTTTACTTGATCTAGTTGTCCCTTTCTGCAAAGTGCCATTGTCAGAAACCATTAGCTGCAAAGCTATTATACGAAAACCTCACCAATCATTGCTTTATGAAGACTATCCAGTCCTTAAATCTTAATTGAGGAATAAATCCTTGCACAGTTTAGCATTCTCCTTGTAAAGCATACCCAGTTATAAGGGAAAAAATGGGACAAGTTTTCAACTCTTTTCTCAGGTATTTTATTAAGAGAATGTAAAAAGAGTAATAAAGCAAGGAAGGCATGAAATAGTCTGAAACTAATGAGAAATGCTTGGTTATGTTTCACCTCTGTTGCAACATTAAAAACTGAGCAAAATTTAGCCCCTATATCATTGTCTGCCTGTAAAGGCCAGCTGTCAGATAAAGACTTTTTCTCTTCAAATTTTCTGTCCAAGAATACATAGTAGTAGAAGCTGGTAACCAATTTGCTTCCCCAAAACATTGATTAAATTTTGGTAAAATCAGAAATAGGTTTAGAGGTCACTTACACTTCTTGGAGAAGAACCCACATGGGGTTATCTGCCCACACTGAAGTATGCTTTCTGGTTTTCACCCTTCTTCCACCACTCTCACTGGTATAAAATGTTGATTTTAATGATGTGATTCCTGTGCTACATTAATCTTGATGAAGTCAGCATGAAATACAGTGTGTCCCTCACAACAAGTAAGTAAACCCTTTAAAACGAACAAGATCAAATACGTATGTCAACTAATGCTATGAAGGTGTTCCATAAAAATCTGAATGTCTTTGTTAGACTGAGACATGGTAAGAATTTTATTATTGTAACACAAATCTTTGCACACCAAAGGAGTTAAAATATGGATGGCAAATTAATCTGCATTTAGTAACCAAGAGTACAATTCTTTTACACAGAATCACAGAATGGCAAGGGTTGGAAGGGACCTCGGGAGATCATCTAGTCCAACCCCCCTGCTAAAGCAGGTTCTCCTAGAGCAGGTTACATAGGACTTCATCCAGGCCGGCTTTGAATATCTCCAGAGAAGGAGACTCCACAACCCCCCTGGGCAGCCTGTCCCAGTGCTCTGTCACCCTCAGAGTAAAAAAGTTTTTCCTCACATTCAACTGAAACCTCTTATGTATCAGTTTGTACCCATTGCCCGTTGTCCTGTCGCTGGGCACCACTGCAGAGAGTCTGGCTCCATCCTCTTGACTTCCATCCTTAAGATATTTGTATGTATTCATACACTGGAGCGACCGCAAATTTGTATCCTTTAACCGCGTTAATATCAAAGACTTGCTGACCCTAATCCTTCTGATTTTTCTACAAGAATACAGAACTATTTACCTTGTACTTTTGCCACACAATCTATCAAGTATACCACCTTATTGTAGGTATTACATTTTTGTTAATACTGTGTAGGAATATAGAACACAGAAATACCTGGAGAAGAGAGGAGCTAAGTGTAATATGTACCCATGCCATTTCATGAAATTATTTTTACTGCTAAGAATGTCAGTGGCGGATTTGGAAAAACTCCAATTAAAATAAAGCAAAAGGCAAAGAGTAGATCTTGCATGTAGAAATTCCCAAATTATAGTCCCGATACTTACATATACTCCAGTTCATCAAGTCATTGAGGTCCCAGTTTCCCTAATTAGTTGGGATTGCTTGGCATCCAGATGCCCATCAGATAGTGCTAATTACCCTCACTGCTGAAAATACAGATGTGAGCACCGGGCGCTCCATCCCCACGGGATGAAGTGCCTTGCCACCACCCACCCCAAGTCAGGCTGACACCCCTCTGCCTGACCAAACCAGAAGACAGCAAACTGATTACAACAATTCCAAATTCTGAGGTTATTTAGATATTGCATTCATGGTTAGTCAAGATTAATGCAAGTACAGGAGAAATAAAAGGGTTTAGTTGCATTTCCTCCACTCCCATCATCTCCTTCCAGCAGTCCTCCCCTGGCTGGCAGTGCCAGTGTCTCTACTATTGTCAGCAAGTTGCACTCCAGAGCATCGAGGTCCTCCCCCCTTATCCCTATCCAGGCTTTATAGTGCAAAAAGAAAGGAGGGATGGAGGAGGGATGCCAGCAACAAGTTTTTGGCCAGCTTTTACTCCTGTCCATTGATCTACATCCTGTGGAATGAAAAGCTTCTTTGACTTCCTATTACATGCATACATAGAATGACTTATTAAAACCTATATGCAGACTGAAAAACAAATGTCCTTAGATGGGTTGCATTGCTAGTTCAGCTCTGACACTAATTTATTGAATTCAGTTTGATTTCACAGGTTACGTGAGGTTTCAATTCCTTATAAGTCTCAAAAAGATGAATGACAGAAAGAAGTGAGCAGGGTATGCCATCCTAAATTACCTATTATCTGCAACTCTTATCCTAGAAAATTTTTGTTAGAAAAAAAGGTAACATATCTGAGAAAGAAGCATTCTCTTTTTCTTGACAGCTAGAATCTGTAAGATACCTCTTCATAATCATTAAACAAGTACCAATATCTTTCATAGTGTACAATATAATTAGTAGGATTAACACCTGGCCCTTTATGCAGACAACTCTGAAGAAATTCACATTGAGGTAATGCAGCTTGATTCTGAAATTTGTTCATAAATTACTATATTTAAAAAAATGTAAAAGGAAAATTCCACTGTGAAGAGAGGTGACTTATCTTAATCAGCTTGGCCATTTTTTCAGTCATCATGTTACACTCCAGATAAACTTGTCCTGGTTTCAGCTGGGATAGAGTTCATTTTCTTCCTAGTAGCTGGCACAGTGCTGCTGTATTCAGTACGAGAAGAATGTTGATAACTCACTGATGGTTCAGTTGCTGCTGAGCAGGGCTTACACCAGGCAAGGACTTTTCAGCTTCCCCTGCTCTGCCAGGGGCACAAGAAGCTGGGAGGGGGCACAGCCAGGACAGCTGACCCCAACTGGCCCAAGGGCTGTTCCAGACCATATGGCGTCATGCTCAGTGTATAAACTGAGGGGAGTTGACTGGGGGAGAGCAATAGCTGCTCAGGGACTGGTGGATCATTGGCCAGTGGGTGGTGCGAGGTTGCATCACTTGTTTTGCCATGGGTTTGTTCCTCTTTTTTATTGTTGTTTTCCTTTTCACTACGTTTTTTTTAATTATCATATTATTATTATTGTATTTTATTTGAATTATTAAACTGTTCTTATCTCAACCCCTGAGTTTTCTTACTTTCGCTCTTCTGATTCTCTTCCCCATCCCACTGTGGGGGGGGGGTGAACGAGCGGCTGGGTGGTGTTGGGTTGCCAGCTTGGTTAAATCATGACAAAACTGTATTACTGAAATAAGCTGTCACTGAAAAGTATTTATTATGCCATTATATTAACATAATCTTAGCCTATACTTACTATAACAGCATCTTCTTGAGGAAGAAGAGAAATATCAGTAAAATCTGTAACTACATCATTAAAGTCCTACTTACCTCAGTTTATCTTCTTTTTTTTTTTTCCTGTAGGTTGTGACCTCATCCCAGTCCAGTATCTCAGATGGGGTGATCCTGAACCAATTGCAGCTGTTGTTTTTGCATGTCTGGGTCTGCTGGCCACCTTGTTTGTTACGGCTATATTCATAATGTACCGTGATACTCCAGTGGTCAAATCATCCAGCCGAGAACTTTGCTACATCATTCTAGCTGGCATCTGCTTGGGTTACTTGTGCACTTTCTGTCTCATCGCAAAACCTCAACAGATTTACTGTTATCTTCAACGAATTGGCATTGGCCTCTCCCCAGCTATGAGTTATTCTGCTCTAGTGACTAAAACCAACCGCATTGCAAGAATCCTGGCTGGCAGCAAGAAGAAAATTTGTACAAAGAAACCTAGGTTCATGAGTGCCTGCGCCCAACTGGTTATTGCATTTATCTTGATATGTATACAATTAGGCATAATTGTTGCCCTCTTTATAATGGAGCCACCAGATATAATGCATGATTACCCAAGCATCCGAGAGGTCTACCTGATTTGTAACACCACCAACTTGGGTGTTGTAACTCCCCTTGGATATAATGGATTATTAATTTTGAGTTGCACCTTTTATGCATTTAAGACAAGAAACGTCCCAGCTAATTTCAATGAAGCAAAATATATTGCCTTTACAATGTATACCACCTGCATCATTTGGCTGGCTTTTGTGCCAATATATTTTGGAAGCAACTACAAGATAATCACCATGTGTTTCTCAGTGAGTCTGAGTGCCACGGTGGCCCTTGGCTGTATGTTTGTGCCCAAGGTCTATATCATCCTTGCTAAGCCCGAAAGGAATGTACGCAGCGCATTCACCACATCGACCGTAGTCCGCATGCACGTAGGGGATGGAAAGTCATCTTCAGCTGCAAGCCGCTCAAGCAGCCTGGTGAACCTGTGGAAAAGAAGGGGATCATCTGGTGAAACCCTGAGGTAAAGTTTGCTAATGTGGGAGCGTGGGGAAGCAATTACGATTTTCTGAGAGTTACTCATAGTGGAAGGACAAAGGGAAATGTATTAATTGCCTTTGCCTCTGCACTGGGAGTGGAGTCCTCTCTCCCACATCTGTAACAGTTCTGGGTTTGATTTATTCAAAACACTGTGCAAAAAAAAGGGGCATAACAGTGGGCAAACAATTACAAGGCTGGAAGTACTGGCTGTGTCAACTGAACACTTAAAGTAGGGAGGGAAACAAGATCTTAGGAGAGAAAAACAACAGAACGAGAACAGAACTCATTGCCTTGTCCTGAAAGAACGCATGTATGATCTCCTTCCCTTGAATGAATTGCATAGTGTCTGCATTTTGCCTCTAGTCACAGCAGTAAGGCAACAGGGTTGGTGCTAGTGCTACGTAATCAAAGTGGAGTAATAAATACAAATGGCATCGTGAGCAGCCACTCTCAGGCATCTGAGGATTTGTTTCATATGATTCTTCTGTTATAATTTTCTCTCCTATTCCCTTGATTTTCCTTTCTTGTATTATCTCTTCCTGCTTTCTTTCTTTTTGTCCTCACCTATCTTCTCTTCTTTACCTTTCTTGATACCTTTTTCTCTATTCATCCTCCTAACTCCACCAAATTCAGGTGCTCACAGGCCCCCCTCTTGCTACCCTTCCTGCCTTTGAAAAGATACTCCCTTGCGAGATATTTCTTTGTTTCTTCTGAAGGAATTATATGAATTCAGTGATCATGAAGACAACTTGTATGTTCAGTGTATGAAAATTAAAGTGAACACTGAAGAGAAAGGAGAGCTCTGGAATGGAAATACTGTCCTGCTGTATAGATAGGGCATGTAGAAGTGCACCCGGCCCAGTGGTTCATGTTCGTCTTTTGATCCTTTTCACTTTTGATAGGGGTGCTATGGGGGTGATTTGGGTTATTGAATTGCTGGCATAAACAAAGGATTCTGCCTGTATGAAAGTGCAGAGAAACAGTTTTATCATTCCTCTGCTACATATGTCTAGCCTCAAAGTGACAAGTAGCTAGATTTTCCTCCTCACTGAAACACACATGGATTGTAGGATTGTAAATATGTGTATTTCCAGATATGCCATTGCTCACAACTGGAGTTGGCATGGAACGAGGACATATACTTCCTTTTTTTGTGTGTGGACCACAGTTTAGACTCGAGGGAGGATTTCATTAGTAATACCTACAGGACAGATTGTGCCAAAGTGACTATTTGTTTCTGTCATATTATTACTAATGCTTCTCTTTCAGTGACTTTGAATTGGTACAGAAATGGCCAGGCTATTACAAGATATTTTATACCTATGATCTGTTAATGATGGGATCTTCCAGTTCATTTCCAGGTGCAGAGTAGGATGTTATTTTAAAATGATAAATTCTTTATCAATTTAAGTGATGGTTACCTGAAATATCCTTTCCTACAGCCTCTGTCTGTATGCCTGAATGACCTGCGATGTTCAGGTTAGAAGCCTTATAACCACTTCTGGGCCAGCTAAGAGAGACATTCTTCATAATATGTCCTCTAATAGGAGGGCATTCTTCCTCTTTGAGTCACTATTATTTTCCATTCCTTTTCCTGCAGAGCCATTTGCCATCTCACAACTTTTTTGCTCAACAAGATGAAGTCATAGATGATGGGAAGATCTTGGGCTTGGGAAGGATTTGTTTGTCATCTGTTAATTCCCAGTTTTGAAAGATATTGCTCTACAATCTTTGTTTTGTTCTGAAAAGTAAGGAGTGTATTCTGCCATTAAATATCCTAAAATACAAGGTGTATTTTCTTCTTTTTGAGGATTCTGTTTCCATTTCTTTATTCCCTCAATGTGTAGATAACACATGCAGTAGAGAGTTATTAGCAGAACGTAATAGATCATCATCAACAATGACTTCTTTTTCAATAACACTGTCTTGGAAATTTCTTTGATCCTGAAGAGCACTGAGAGTGCCCGATATGTGTGTGTAGGAATGAAAAAGGCAGCTCAAAGCTGGTGTATTGACGTATTTACCTAGATATAAAGAAGTAGAACATTTTATTTGAAAACTGGAGGAATAATTTTCATGTTATCAGCAATGTTCATCAACACTTAAACGTGCAACAAAGAAAATACTCCTAAATGCATGTGTCTGAATCCTCAGCTGGTTAAACCGTGATGGTGCCAGTGAGTTTAGCAGTGCTCAGTCAATGTGTGCCTGAAGGGTATGTGAAACCAAGAGCAAATTTATTCCATCAACCATGGGAAATTCTCTATAACCAATGCCTGTTTGGTTGCATTAAAAAAAACAACCCAAAATAGAGACCTGAAATGTGCTGAGTAAATTTAAAATGCTGTTCAGGACTTCACCTGTGTCTGATATCAATTCCAAGAAAGAAGAGAAAACCACTTTCAGCTTCAATTCTGCTTACTGTAGAGCATGAGCAAACAGAGTCCGACTATTTTACTTAATATTCAAACATTTATTTAAAAAAATCTTATTGGACAAAGCAATATATTTCAAGGTATTATCCAGTACAATGCTCACATGCTTGTTTGGATAGGTATCCAAGTAAACAGTGAAGTACTCAGAGTCAAAGGAAATATGCACTAGAGATACATGGCATTATTTAAATAGCTCCGAGGGGTTTTATTTAAAAGAGAGTGAGTCACTGTTGAATTTTAAAGAAACATGCTATTTAAGTCACCAGTGCATAAAGGGGCCCCTATCATTAGCATTTTGCTTCTTGACACTAATTTATAGCACAGTGTAGTATTGCATCAAATCATTGTCAAACAGATAATGCCAATGCTCCATTCAGAGCTTTCACATCAGCTGCAAAGCGACAGATAACAAGACTGCTTTTGCCTAAATAAAGCAATGCATCTGTTAGAGTCCTAAATGACTTTTTGCATGGGGTGTTCTTCAACTAAGAAAACTCAGGCAAGCTGTGGATGTGTGCTGGAATGAATCTTCACGCACTGAAGTATGTAGAAGGAAAGAGTAAAACTATTCATTACCTTGTGAAATGAAAACAATTTCATGTAGGCTATTGTGATTCAGCAGCGCTCACCAAAATATATTCTACCCTCATTTAAAAGTAGGGCTAATGAACCAGGCATTAGCAGAAGCAACTCCACAAAGAAGAATGCTGAACACTACATAGCTGGAGTCAAAGCCACACAATATGTGTAGAGAGGCACCTGGACCTTCTGCTCCCAGTTATCTTACCAGTTGTTTTCACATGGACTTGGAAGGCATAAATAAATTGAGCAAACTTTACCTTAAGGTCCCAGGAACTATTATCACATGTATGCTGCACAGCCCTTTTGCAAGAGTCCAAAATACAGTCCAAAATACCCCTCATTCTGGAAAAACTCTGTATCCCAGGTAAGATAAGGATGGTATACTTCTGCTGCAAGTGCTGCTACTATGATTTTCTAGCCAGGACTGCACACCAAAAGGTCTCAGTCATGCTACCTTGGCCTGGGGGATAGAGCAGATGTTCCACAGTTTCTCTTACCTTTCTAATATCTTAGCCTTGGATAGTAATTTAACCACTGTAGGCATTTATCTCTTCTGGAACATGTGTTTAAATGGCCCAAACCACACATGCTCCATTTTCCAAGATTACATATAATGACCTTTTAAACACATGCATCTCCCTCCACCTCCTTACAGAAAAAAAAGGTTGTTTTCCTTTAAAGCAAGTAATAAACTGTTCTGAGTGACCAGCAAAGTTCTAAAACCAGCCCTAAACATTGTCTCTCCCACACATATGTACTAAGTCTTAAAAATCTTACCAATATTTTTCTCTCTGCACTTTAAATTGCTCCCAAATCTTCACAGTACAGCCCATGCTCCTCCTGTCCAGTTTTGCCACTGTTGGTTGTAGATGCCACAGTGGGTCCTGCCCTCAGCTGCTTCTTTTGGAGGTCCCCAACCCACCTTCAAAGTTCCTTAGTTGTTTTAGCAGCAAACTCTGCACTGTTCCAGCCTGTAACATGTTATGGGAAAACCCAGAGAAACCTGGTTCTTCTATAGATCAGGCTGTGACCTGGACACAAATAGCAGTTCAGGCAGTGAGGTGGGAACCTCTGAGAAAGCAAAGTCAGAAAATACTGTTGTGATCCTAAGGGAAGGCTCTCTGCTTGGCGATTAGAGGCTTAGTTCGTATACATCCCCCTTTGTTTATTTTTTCAGTGACATTGAGAGGCAGAAGAAAGGAATTAGGCAGCTAAAGTGTTTTTTAACTCCCAGTTGGCCATCCTCCCTGTGATGATGCAGGACTCATTCAGGTTTCTTCTACCACATTCTCAAAAGACAGAAGCTGGTAGGTGCCAGGTAAAAGCCAAAAGTCCTCTCCCGAAACAATACAAGAGAGATTCTCTCTTCTAAATGAGTTAGGATTGCTGAAAGTAACTATTTGTTTAAGCAAAAGGACTGAGCAGTACTTTCAATCTGTTACCCAGGCAGGTAGGTGTGAACGCTCAACAGAAAATAATCATCACCAGCAAAGTCAAATGTTAGTCCTATTCAAGATACATTGGCTGTTTGTGGTATTGCGCATAATTCCTCCACAGAGATGTGAACAGCACAATACTAGACAACAGAAAAAAGATGCACATCGATTTCTACACCTTATCATAGAAACTTACCCACCACAACTCAAAAATCTCTTTGAGATTAAAGCTCAATAGCTTGGTGTGGCAGTGGTGCATTATTACACCTGGATTTACTACATGATGCAGTATTTCCTAAATAATTAAAAATTAACTGCGGCTGTCAAAGCAAATGAATTACTCATTTAGTTTTTAATGTACTATCTTGTCCTCTTAAGAAGTTTGTCTATCACTGTGCAATTGCAGAACTGGGCATTGCTCTGTATTTTTGACAGCTTTCATTCAGGAGTGGGGATCCCTTCCTCCAGTAAGCCAATGCTCACCCTTGGGTGAACTACAGAATTTTTATTGTATAAATTACTATTAATTT